CCCCCCCCAACTTCACTTGGGCACACAATAAACTGCTGTATTTGATATCAGGAGGGCCAACCCTCCTGGATCCCAGGGTCTTGGTGGGGTCAGGCTCCTTCCTACATCAATGACCTGTGGAAGGAGAGAGGATGAGAGGCTCATCCGGGTGAATTGCACACAGGAGAAGGGGTTTGTGATACTTGTCAGGGCCTGGGTTTTAGCTGTCCACACTTGAGGCAGTGGGCAGTGAGCTAAAGCCCCTGATGACTCTAGCTGTTGAATCTCATCTGTTGCCACGGATGAAGCCACAGGTGATTTTCAATATAGTGCTGAGCATCTTCTGGTTTTAATGGAAAGGTGAGGTTTCTGCTTTATCTGCTATCTTTCCTTTTTTGTGTGTAACACTTACTATCAAGTTGTTGTTAAGTGCCGTTGAGTCATAGATGACTCATAGTGATCCCATTAACAAAAGATCTGAGCACTGTTCATAGAGATTATGGAGGCAAGCCATTTTGGAAGTGTTTGCCACTCCTGCTTCCAAGCTTGTTTTAATTGGGAAGCTCCACCAAACATTGTCCACCATGGGCAACCATTATCACACTTGGCACATCAGAGTCACAGTATTTAGCATTACAGCAATGCACAGATTTCTCACTTTCCTTAGCGAATCAACATTCCACTCTACAGCTCCCCCATTCCAGCCAACAGCTTCTGTAGAACCAGTTCCTGTAGATGACTTGCAAACTGGTCTCTAGTGCCATGCTACTTACCTGCATTGGTTTTTAAATAGAAGGCCTTATCACAAATGCCTCACTTTCCTTAGCAGAGCAACATTCCAGCCAACAGCTTCTGTAGAACCAGCTCTAGATTACCAAGTACAAAGAAAATAAAAATTATTCACATAAACTTGAAATTTAAAAAAAATTACATTTATTAACTACTTCTCCAAGATTACCTTGCTTAAATAAAAATATGTTACAAGCACAATAGAAGAAAATAGTAAATGCTCAGATTCTTATTACTATGAATTTTCTTGTATGTCTTTCTGGATTTTGTCCACATATTTAATTTTCTAGAAGGTATAGGAAGAGCAATGTTGAGATTTAAGTGGAAATATACCTTAAAAGAATTGAAGATTGAACCTCTTTTACATTTGTTCATCATCTGCTATCTTTTTTATTGCAACATGCCAATCTTTCACATTTCATCAATAATGAAGTGGGAAGATAGTTGGAAGTTTTCATTTGGTTTATTCTTGTTTGATGTTATTACTCATTTTGCAGATTCATTGTTTCCTTCTCTATCCAGTACTAGGTATAAAGCTTGTTTTTAGGGATGCAATTATTTATCATCACATTCTTAATTTTCAGAAGGGAGTTACTCTCTGTTTGCAGTACATAAAAATGTTTTTCCTAGTGATGAATGAATATTGATTTGTTAAATAATTGTTTTGGCTTATAGTAAGATTGTTATAAGATTTTTTTGGCTTTTATTTACTAGTGGTTATTTTTCATTATAAAATTGTTAATTTTTAATGCTAAATAGCTATTAATCTAACTATACATGTAGTTTAATGGTATTCTTATATATTGCTTTTATTTTTGTGTATTTGATTAATTGTTATATACTGCTTTTTTAGGACTTCTGCACCAATTTTCAATTGAATGAATGGTTTTATCTTACTGTTCCACCATCATCCTTAGTCCTTCTTAGTTATACTATCACCCTTAACACAACATTAGTGGTTTTATTTGGTTTAAAAATGAATTAATACATACAAAGCACATAGCTTAGGAAATTAGTGAGTAATAAGAAAATATTAGATACTAGAGGGTCGTCAAGCTTGGGAGAGTTGAAAAACAGTACAAGAGCGGAAGACCCTGGATGAGATGGATTGATACAGTGACTGAGGAAATTGAGTGAGTGTGTCAGAGCCAATAAGGTTGGCTCAGGATAGAGCAGGGCTTAGAGCTGTTGTCCGTAGGTAGGGAGGCTATGAGTTGCAAGAGACTTGACGGCATATAACAACAACAAAGTTGTATTAAAAGTTTTCCTAAATTATTCAGTATTTTAAATAAAGAAATACAACATATTAGAGAAACTAAAAAAATCACAGTAGGCAAAATGAAAATAAAGTCATTAGGAAATAAACCACTTTTAATATTTTCCATGTGTTTAATTTTTGTATTTGTTGCTTATGTAAATATTACTTTAATTATCCTTTTAATATTTTAATTATAATCTATACAAACTATCAATCAGTGAATGAGACTCACATAATTTTTAGTGGCTATATTGTATAAGAATATAAGCATGTGCCACCATTATTTAATCTTCTCTCTGTTGGATATTTCTTTCCATTTTTCTGTAATGAAAATGCTGCACTGACAAATTTTAAAGGATATGTTGTTGTTGTTATGTGGCATCAAGTTAGAACTGATTCATAACTGCCTCTTAAGTAGGTTTTCAGAGGCTATATGTTGCAGTGGTGGAGATTGCCAATTTTTCTCCCATGGAGCAGATTGTGGATTCAAACCACTTGCCTTTGGGTCAGCAGAGGATCTCCTTACTACTCAACCATCAGAGCTCCTTGAAAAGAATATTAATTAATGACAATATCGTACAATAAGTTGTACAGCAAGGGAACTTCTAGAAATTCAAACTTGATTCAGAAGATGTCATGGTACGAGTTAAGGGTTTCTCCAAATTATTGAGGATTAGTGATGTCAGTTTGAGGACTAAGGCACATCTGATTCAGGCCATAGTCTTTCCAGTTACTTGCTGTGCATCTGAGAGCTGGACTGTGAATAAGGATGACAGAAGAAGAATTGATGCCTTTAATTTGTGGTGTTGGAGAAGAGCACTGAACCATCCCATGGATAGCCAGGAGAACAAATAGATATATCTTGGAGAAAGTGCAGCTGGAGTGCTCTTTGGAGGCAAGAACGATGAGGCTTTGCCTCACATACTTTGGGTATGTTGCCAGAAGAGTTATTCTTTGGAGAGAGACATGATACTAGGAAGGGTAGAGGGTCGTCGATGAAGAAGAAGAACTTCAACCAGGTGGATTGACACAGTGACTGCTGCATTGGGCTCTTGTGTGTCAGGAAGTGTGAGGATGGCTCAGTATAGAACAGGGTTCTTGTGTTTTGTTCATAGGGTCTCTAAGAGTCATATTTGACTCCATGGCACCTAACGACAACTGGTACAATAGATAACATTGCTGATGTCAGATTGATCTTGACTGAAAAGAGAAAACCAGAAAGATAATTCAGTTTTATCGACAATGCAAAGATATTTGACTGTAGATAATACTGAATAATGGATAACATTGAGAAGAATGGTAATCACAGAACACTTAATTTTGCTCGTGCAAAACCAATACATAGAGCAAAAACAGTTATCTGACAGAATGGAACATTGCACGGTTTAAAATCAGGAATTATGTGTATCAGAGTTGTATCCTTTCCCAATACATATTCAATATGTAATTGGAACAGTTGGACTATACATAGACTAAGAAGCAGTTTTCTGAATAGAATAAGGGAACACTGTATGGCTTAAAATAAGGAAAAGTGTGTGTTACGGTGTATCCTATCTGCATACCTATTCAATCAAATAAAATTCAATTCAAATTGTTCAGGAAACTGGAATATATGAAGGTGAATGTGACATCAGGATTTGAATAAGACTCAATACCAATATGAATTATACAGATGACCTAATCTTGATTGCTAAAAATGAAGCAGTTTTGAAGCATATACTGTAAGATATCAAATAGTAGATAGCTTTCAGTGTCGATTACACTTCAACATCAAGAAAACAAAAATTACCACTGGATCAATAGACAACATGATGATAGAGAAAGGATTGAAGTTGTTAACAATTTCCTTTTACCTAGATCCACAATTAATTAGAAACCCAGACTATAGCAGTCAAATGAAAAGCATTGAGAAAATCTTCTGTCAGGGACTTCTCCAAAGTGTTAACAAGCAGAGTTGGCAGTTTAATGACTAAAGTGCGCCTGATTCAAGTTATGGTGTTTTTTTTTTCCTTTACTACTTTAAAAAAAATTTGTAATTTTAGTGAACGTTTGCAGAAATGTTGGATCTTCATTCATTCATTAATTCATTGATACACGTTTTCTTCCTTTCCCTCTCTCTCCTCTCACCCTCTTCAATTCATTTTGTAATGCACAGCCTGTTCCAGATTGTTAATTGTAGATAGATAATGAACACTGCACTGGAATAGGTGAAGGGAAGGATGATTAAGCTGTTGTATTTTAAATTGATTCCTATTCATCTGAAAGTTAGACAGTGATTAAGGAAGATCAAGGAAGAATTGATGCTCTTGAGTTGTGATTTGGAGAAGAGAACTGAATAACTCATGGACTGCTAAAAAAAATCAGTTAAATTTGTTTTGGAAGAAGTAATCCATAATATTTCTTTAGAACAAGGAGGGTGAAACTCTGTCTCCCACACTTCAGGCATGCTATCAAGAGTGGCCAGTTCTTGGAAAGGACATTGTATATATAGAGAGACCTTCAGCTAGATGGATTGACACAATGACTGTAGCAGAGGGTGTGAGCATTTTGGAGATCATGAGGATGGGGTAGGAAAGGGCAAGGTTTAGATCTGCTTGTTATAGCATCTCTGTTTATTGTAGTTTACTCAATGGCACATAATAGCATTAAAAATTTATATATTCATTTTGGAGTAACTAGTGGATGAAAAATACTAATTGCTAGAAATAAGAACTGCTTTTCTTGATATGTATTTTAAGCACTACCTTATCAATAACTTTCTCTTTTAGAATTACAGAATGAAAACTTAAAAGAATCAATTAAGAAACAGGATTGTTTGTCATCAGAACTAGAAGATGTTAAAGTGTCTTTGGAAAAAAGCCTGGTATGATATAAAAAGAGATTAATGTAAAATAAGTTTCACAGTCAGTCAGCAAATATTTATTGAATATTATTTACAAGGACCTGGAAATGCAATCTCAGTCTATAAAATTTTTATAGTTTGATTGTTGTTGTTGTTTGTTGTTATGTGCTGTTGAGTTTAATTAGGGACACTAAATAAAATTATAACAAAAAAAGTAAAACATTAAAGCTATACTAGCTACCAGAAGGATGGGTCAAATAATAAAGAGCTGTAATAATTGTAAACTGATAAAACATTATATGCTGTTTTAGGTTGAAATATTTTATGGAGCAATTGGAACTATATGTCAGCTTTGGAGGAATAATTATTTGAATGAAAAGTAGAAGGTGTGAAATTCCGATTGATTGAATGAGAACAGTGTTGAGGATAGCAAATACGCAGAAGTAGATGAATTAATGTTTTTCTTTATGTCTTTGGCTCATCAGGGCTTTTGTTTTGTATTCCACTTCATTTAGAGTAACCAGAAAGTTTTAGAGGAAAATTTACAGAGATCAAGCCAAACAATCTCTCAGCTCACTGGGGAAAAAGCAGCTCAGATGGAAGAATTCAATAATGCTGAAACGGCTCATTCATTTATGATTACAGAATTTAAAACTACTATCTGCAACATGAAAGAATTATTGGCAACAGAACAACAAAGGTAACTATTATGTAGTTGAATAAAAATAGTTGACATAATTATCAGTTTGATTTTCTATTTATCCTCACTGATTTATAATTTGTATAGCATCTTTAAGTCTCTTTTTCATCTATGTATCTGTGTATCTATGTATCTATCTTTTAAAATATAAGTGATACTGTAATAAAACGGAATGGTTTTGGCAAACAAATTTATTATTTCACACAGGCTATAAGTCCAAATTTAAGGTGTCAGTTCTAACGGAGGGCTTTCTCTATCTTTGTCTTTCATGACTTTGGAAGAAGGTTTTTGTCTAAATCTTCCTCTAGGTCTGTGCAGCTCTCAGTTCAGAAATCCTAAGTGCAAAGGATGTGCTCTTTCTTGTTAATGAAGTCCTTTCTTCTCTGTTCATTTCTCTTGGCTTTTATATCTTAAAGGAGAAAAAAAAGTGTTGACTCAAGATACATCTTAACCTAAATCTCATAAATAAAACCTAAACTGTCATAATAGACTAGCTCTGAAATAGGATCGTAGCCAAAGGAATTATTATTGTTAGGTGCTGTCTAATTGCTGTCCCATGTACAATAGAGCTAAAATACTACCAGATATTGAGTGTGTCATCATCACAATCTCTGCTGTACTCAGCCTATTCGAGTCTTGTGTCAATTCATCTTGTTGAGGGTCATCCTCTTATTTGCTGACCCTCTAGCAAGTATGATGTCCTTCTTCAGGATCAGCTTTTCCTAACAACATGCCCAAAATATGTAAGACATAGTTTCATCATTATTACTTCTAAAAAACACTCTTAGAATAGAGCTATAGAGGATAGTATTTAAAATGTATTGCAAAATGAAAGATAACTACACAATATGGGGAATCACAATCTGGTCAGTTTGGTACATGTTTGCGGAACACAATTTAATCTGTGACAGTTGGAAATCCTAAAAATTTTATAATGTTTAGGCAGACATACTAGAAAAATACGTTAAAAAAGTTTTTGATTTGATGGTTAATGAGATTGACTGCCTATTAAATTGTTACAGGTTGGTGTCTACCTTGAGGTTCCTTGGCAGAAAAGCTTCATGTTCTTTTTTGAAAAATCGACCAATGAAAATCCCATAGAGCAGTTTTCTCACATACATGGTGTTGCCATGAATCAGAGTCACTACTGCAGTTGGTTTTTATTTGGTTTCTAAGAGAGTTTTCCATATAATTTTTCAAATTATACAGACAAGCTCTAAATACTGATAAAATGATATACTTAATGATATATTACTATGTAATGGAGTAGTATATTATTATAGATTATGATTACTGATGCATGGTGAATTTATATACAAGAGAATGAAATGCTACTCAGTTCTGTGTCATTCCCAATATCATCAGCACAGTAGAATCTTTCATTGCAACTGTTCTAACAGTCAGTCTTGCTAAGGGTCTTTCTTGCCTTTGCTTGGCCTTTAGTTTGTCTCACATACTTTGGGTGTGTTACTAGGAGAATATAGTCCTTGGGAAAGTACATCATGCTTGGAAAGAGAGAAGATAAGCAAAAGTGGTGAAGAGCTTTCTTACTCTCCTTTTTTGCTGTGGCAGCATGCTATAAGATCTAGTTTCACTCCTATCTTTCCAAGGATCCTTTATCCCCTTCTCTTTTCTTTTTACTTTAACTCTTTTGCATAACCCACCTTACACTAGTTGTGCCTCTGTCTTATTGCCTTGCTGTATACAGTTGAGTTGGAACCTTCTCATAGCTGACCCTCTAGCAGGTATTCAGAAGCAGTTAATATAATAGGAGAAGATTGCCCATCCTTCTGTGGAGCAGCTGGTGGATTCTGTGTGCCTTTGGAATTGCAGTGCAGCTTCTTACCACTAGGCTTTAATAAATTTTATTCACTTATTTTTCTAGAGAGAGAGAGAGAGAGAGAGAGAGAGAGAGAGAGAGAGAGAGAAGAGAAGAGAGAAGACCTTCAAAGGAGATAGATTGACATGTTGTTGGTATGTGCCATTGAGTCACCTGTGACTCATAGCGACTCTGTGTATAATAGCTCTGAAACCTGCCCTATCTTTACCCAGTGTCACTAACTCTGACAGACCTACTACTCCCCTTACCTCAGTTACTGTATCAACTCATCCCAGGTCTTCCTCTCCTGCTCTGTTCCCCTACCCTTCCAAGCATGATGTCCTTCTTCAAGGACTGATCTTTTTTGGGCATATGCTCAAAGTGTGTGAGATGGAGCTTCAAAATCCTTGCCTCCAAGGTGAAACTTGGCTGCACCCAATATAGACCTGTTTTTTTCTCTTGGAGGTCCATAGTATGTTCAATATTTTTCTCTGGCCCCACAACTTGAAGGCATCAATTCTTTTCTGTAACCCTTAGTCATTGTACAGCTAGCTGTCTGATGCATAGCAACTAACTACAAAGACTATGGCATAGATCAGGCACACTTTAGTTCATTGACTGACATCATTACTCATTAGTACTTTGACCCTGATAGCAGACTTCCCCAGTGCAATTTGTCTTTTGATTTCCTAACTGTTGGTGCTAAGAATTTTGATTGTGGATCCAAGCAAGTTGAAATTGTTAACAACCTCAATCTCTTCTCCACATGTTATGGTGCTTCCTGTTGGCCCAGGGCAGAGATTGATTGAATGACTACAAAAATGAGATTAAGTGCAGTGGAGGTGGAGATTTTGAAGATTTTTTCAGAGTTTAATTCTGTTGTTTATATGGTTATGAGTAAGAACCAAATGCATGACATCTAACAACAGTTCCTGTGTATATCATCTTCTTTGAGAGTGAGCTATTAAATTAAGATTCATTATGGAGAATTAAGGGAATTACCTTGCTTTTTAGAAGGTCAAGGACTGCAGCTTTCAATATGGATTGAAGCTCAACATCAAGAAAACAAAGTTTCAGTCCACTGGGCCAATTTGGCAGCATCATAATTGATGGCGAAGAGATTGAGATTGTTAACAGTTTTAGTTTGCTTGGCTCCACAATCAGTACTCTTGGTACCAGCAGCTGGGGAATTAAGAGATGAACTGCATTGGGAAAGTCAGCTGTCAGGGACCTCTCCAGAGTACTGAAGAGCAATGACATAAGTCTGGAGACTAAGGTGCACCTGATCCCGGCCATAGCCTTTGCAATTGCGTGCTATGCATCAGAGAACTGAACAGTGACTAGGGATGATAGAAAGAGAATTGATGCCTTTGAACTGTGGTGCTGCAGAAGAGTGTTGAATATACCATCGAATGCTAGGAGAACAAGTTTGTCCTAGAGAGGGTGAAAGCAGGCTGCTCCTTGCAGGCAAGGATTCTGAAGTTTTGTCTGACATACTTAGGGCATGTTGTAGGGAGAGACCCTTGGAGAGGGACATCCTGTTTGGGAGGGTGGAGGGGCGGCGCAAGAGAGGAAGACCTTAAATAAGATGGATAGATTCAGTGATTGGGTAATGGGATTAGGTGTGTCAGACAGTGAGGTTGGCACTTGATAGAATAGAGTTTAAGGGCTCTTGTATATAGTGTCACTATGAGTTGCAAGCGACTTCATGGCACATAACAACAACAACAATAACAAGAAGGTAGAATTCAAGATAATAGATTCAATATTAGAGTGCTAGAGTGTGTACTAATTTGATTATCATCAATAGCCTAGAGTAAAAATTATGATTATAAGCTTTAAGGTTTTATGGCAACATATTTAAAAATATTGTACCTTCTAGCATAAAGTAGATAGTTGATATATATATATTTAATAATGACTTAGATGACTCTATAATAATGTCATCAACTTCTTAAGCAACATGCCTCAAGAAACTATGAACTTTGATAAATGTTGATAGTTGTAGAGGGCCTTCAGGTCTTTTGTTCATAGGATCACTATGAGTCGTACTTGACGCAAAGGCAATCAACAACAACAACAACAACAACATAATATAATAATAGTAATGTGTATGAATTGGTAAATTGAAGTAATTTAGTTACTAAATGAAATCTAACTAAGATTTATTTTACATTTCAAAATAATAAATTTGCTAGATTGGAAAGAAAAGAAGATCAATTGAAAGTACTTAACATGGAGCTTGAGAAGAAATCAACGGAATTGGGTAAGATTTAGAGACTATCATGTGTTCATTAATAATACTCACTGAGTGAGAACTGACCCATATCTGACCCTCCAGTGGACTTTCAGAGACTGTAAATTGTATGGGAAGAGATTGCTCATCTTTTACTCTCAGATCTGCTAGTGGATTTTAACTGCCAGATTTTTTTCTGATTATCTCAGTGAAAGTAATTCTTTTTATAAGTTAAAATTTATTGATAGAAAAAATTATTTATCCAAGAGTTCTTTTTTTTAGATTTTCTCTGTAACTTTCTGTAAGCTGTAATATTAGTTTATTTAATTAAAAAGTTGCAATTAATGTTGCCTGGTGTCTGAAATGTTTGCCTTGAAAACACTTAAGAAATAGTATATTTAGATGAATTTTTGAGCCATTATACTTCCCCCTTTGTGTTAATTTTCAACTGTTAATTAACCTGTAAGAATACAAAATTGTACTCCTCAGAATCTGAAGTGTACTATTTAATAAT